GTCGTGTGTGTGTGTGTGTGTGTGTGTGTGTGTGTGTGTGTGTGTGTGTGTATGTGTGTGTGAGGGTTTGTATGTGTGGGGGGAGGGGGGTGCGTGCGTGCGCGCTCAATATAGAAAGAAGAACAAGTGATAAAGAGAAATCGATTGTTTTCAGTGATGACTAGAACGCCTGTCCGTCTAAATCGTCCTAGTTGTCGAAACTAATCATTCAGTTAGTATCGACCTCACGCAGCACGAATAACTGTCAGATCAATTCGTGCCCGATTTACATACAATAATGCCTAATAGAGTTATGTAGATATACATACTATAATAGATGAGCGTGCATGCAGATACATGGAAGGGCGGAATATACAGCGTATAGCTGAATCATGTACACGTATCGCCGCGCTGTTAGTGCACAAGTCAGCTAAACCGAAATTACCATCGACGACTGTCTATTTAGGCTGATTACACCATTGCAGGTGTAATCTGTGAGACGTGTGCGTAATGTTATTACCAGTAGTCTATCAATATTGATAGACTCCTGTTATTATGTCAAAAGTTCTTGACCGCACGGGAATCAGGGAAATCGTGTTGTTAGTGTATATATATATAAGAGCGGCTGTGCTTGTGCAAGTTCAAGAACAAAGAGCACCCCCGCCGCCCCTACGCGCAACCGTGTACCCGCGATGAACTGGAAGCCACGGCCTCGTCGCAGATCGCTGGTTATCGGCACGGTTCCGTACGAGTGGGGGTGACAAGGTAATGATGTTAATGGGGTTAACACGTTGGCATCGTGATCAAAGCGAGAGAGAAAGCGTGTGTGTGAGAGAGAGAGAGAGAGAAAGAAGGGAGGAATGGAGGAAGACAGACAGGTCAAGAGAATGAAAACAAGTATTGTAAATATAGAAGGAAATGGGGCCGGGATAGGGAGGGAGGGAGGGAGGGGGAGGGATGTTGGGGGATGGAGGGAGAGGGGGACGGGGAGGGAGAGAGGAAAGAAGAGAGTGTGTGTGAAAGAGACACCGGGAGAGAAGAAGAGGGCAGAAAATGAGAGAGATAACGCGAAGATGAGAGAGAGCGAAACAAGTAGAGTTGTGGTGAACGGATGTGTGCGCATGTATACACTCACTCAAATGAAGTACAGAACCCAATGGCAAATCAATGGGCCGTTCGCGGAACCAGGTATGCTGAAAGCAAGCGCTGCTCGCCGACGTTAAGCTACTCTACATGTTCGGGTGGAGTAAGTGCTAAGTGACAATTCAAAGAAATGGCAAGGCTAATTTAAATTGTGCAAATATCGATGTGATCAAGAGCTAATAATACCTTAATGCTAAGGTATTATTAGCTCTTGATGTGATACAACGCAGCGTTAATAACTGTCATTGCCTTCTGGGGCTCTCTTACAGATGTTCATTGGCTCTATTCAACCGTACCTCTTCCACTCTTCCTCACTTCTTCATCTCTCTCTCTCTCTTTCTCTCTCTCGCGCGCGCGCTCTTTCTCTCTCTCTCCATCTCCCTGCGCGTGTGTGCGCGCGCGCGTGTGTGTGCATGCACATGTGTGTTGTCTTCCTCTCTCGCGCTCTCTCTATCGCTCTCTCCATTCCTATCTCGCTTTCTCTTTCGCTATCTCACACGTTCGCTCGTTCTGCAACCCATATGTACATGTGCCACCATATGTACAGACGTACTACGAATGCACAGAGGCATCAATTCTGCACGATCTCTCTATTTCAGCAATCCGCTGCGGTACACTAAATGTCAGTGGTTGCACGCACCGGGCTCGCGCCTACGATGCAATCAACGAGTGTACGTGTGACACTGATCTCCGCCGATCACAGTTACACAACGCGTCCGGCACAGGCTGCGCGTTCTTACAGCCGTCGGCGGCAGGATTTACACATTCTCCCAGCATCTGCATATTTCTAATCAATTGGCTTAAGGAGCGGAAAGCCCTGGATCAGAGGAGGCAGGCGGATGGCAACAGCGGCGATGAGTAGGATTGAGCTGTGCATCAGGAAATCTCTCTCTCATCTCATTTTGCCTAGTTAAGCTAACTCATTAGTAGCATTTCCCATCCACTGCTGTGACGGTGTCGTCGCGGGTGTGCATTCGTAAATGTATGTGGCCACGTATGCTTGTATATGTGGATGTGTATGCATATTATCCGGAGTGAATAATAATAGATTAATCTATAGAATTGAATAATATAATATAAAATATAATATAATAGAATATAATAATAGAGTAATCCATTATTATTCACTCCTGATATTATCAGTAGCTGCTGCAGGTTGCGCGCGTAGTTGTGCGCGTAGTAGTTGCGTGCATAGATACGTGTCAGTTTGGGGTATCCGCCAGGCGTAATTAATAGATAACTCTAGGCCATGTATACACATATCCGCTGCGTTTGATTAGTTCCTTTTCACTT